AATTAATTTGCACATGTACCTAAAGCTTATAGAGGGCTGTTGCTAGATGTCTGATCACCTGATGCAGTCTCTGTGGGATCCTAAATTGTGCTACCAAGAGCCTCGCTAAGTTCTAAATTTCTGCCACCCCTAAATTTTGGGCCCCGATGCTTTCCCTAAATTCTGCCACCCGGTGCGGTCATACAAGCTTTGACACTGGTTCTGGGTTTATCTGAATAACAAATTAGTTATTCTTAATTTAAGTAGCACTAAATGTAATCTTTTGGTCTATGAGTATCATTAACAAAATCTGTTTTTAGTATATGGAAAGAAATTTTTGTTAAATTTTTTCCTCATCAACATTTCTTAATACATTTAAGTTAAATTTGTAATTATGACCAAGCATAAGGTCAACATAAAAGGTTAGCATACTTTTTGCTATTCAATTTCTAATATAAAAAAATTATTTAGTCATCGCTGCATGCAACATTACTCAAGTAGTCATGTTGGTAAATATTTGGTGATGGAAGCAAAATATAATAAATAATGATTCGCCAGGTTGGGAAATAAGATTTAGTAGTGTAAAATTGATAATGTGTAAAGCATACAAAAAAAAAAAAAAAAAAAAGTGAAAGCTTTCAGATTTTATTTTTTTTTAACATTTTTCAGCATAATCTTCCTTTTTTTTTTTTTTTTTTTTTTTTTAAGTTTATGTACGATTTTAATGCTGTAGTTGTGCTCTTTATCAGTTCAGAAAAGGCTAATTTATTTACCTCTTTCTTTGCACCAACCCCTTCATGAAGATGTTATGAAAGATGTAAATTCCTTTTTCTGCTACTATTTTCATTTTTGGTTTTAACTGATTTTGCACCTTTCATGCAATTTATCACTGGACTTCTTGTTTTATTATTGCGTATGGTTTGTCTTGAATTAAATATGCGATTGATTTTGAATACTTTAATTAATTAATTTTGCATTATATATACATACATGCATACTGATAAAACATTAAAGCATTACATCAGCATCCCATGAAGTTTTAAAAAAAAATTGGACAAACTACAGCAGATCTGGAGCATTTTCAGCTTCAATAACATTGAAATTTCGATTTTGGATATAGGTCCCAATTAAAAGACAGGCTTTTTAGAGAATTGCTCTGTATTTTACAGCTTAAAACCCATTATTTGTGTGGGCTTAACAACCACATACAAAGTTCTACAGATTGTAATAACTGTTCTACCTATAGCCACTTAAACTTTTTACTACAAAACTGTAAGAGGAATAGGAGGAGGAAGTAAAATGTTTAAGTATTTTTCAACTTTAAACACTTCACAGCTTCAAAATAACTTTGATGTATTACATAATGCTGCTACAAAATACTTCCAAATTGTTTAAAAAAGGTTTCAAATTATAACAGATTTAATTATTATTTTTTGTAAATTAGCAACTAAAATAATGGCTAATAAAGCATACTGCAAAATTAACTTTCTTCATTCTGTATACAATAGAATTTAATTTCAGCAAAATCTGCAGGTCACATCAGCATCTGTTCCTAGCCCTCAGTTACAAAGCAGTGCTGTATTTTTAATACACTACAACTTTAAACAAATCTCTAATTAACCACTACACTTTAGATCCAAATGTTACTTCAATTTACTTGAATATCTTTCTTTTGTTAATTAGCACCATGGTCATAATTATTACCTGGAATATGAATGTAATGAAAGATTAAACTTGGGAGAACTTCTGAAATTTGGAACCAATTTTAGATCAGTTTACAATATTCAAAAAATGTATTGAATCACCACAATTGAAAAAGACTTGAGTGAATTTATTGTTTTTACTAGCTATAAAACTAATTTTCCTATTGCACATTTTTAGAATGGAAAGCTTCTGTTTTCAAGATCATCAAAAATAAAATTTCTCAGTTTCATAAATTATTTTTTTTTCCTCGAGAGGATGGAAATTAAAAATAAAATGCTTGAGCTTAAGCAGAACAACTTTACTATTACTAAAGTTGAAAAAGCTAGTAAATATATATATTGCAGCACATTGCGCAAAAAAATTTGACCAAAATTGGTCTGTTTTGTATTGTTCTTACAACTTTGCTTATAATAATAATATATATATACTATGTAAATTGTAAGTCTCACTTATTGGAAAAAGAACTTCAGTAACGTATTACTTACAGTGTGATAAATTTCAGTCCTTATAGATTGCAGCAAATTTTCAAACCTGTGTCTCTTTCTGACATTTCATAAATCTCCAATCAAATTCTGTTTTGTTGCTAATTATACTGAAAATTCCAAAAAAGCGATAGACTACATTTTAGCTCTCAAGCTTTTTTTTTTTTTTTAAAAAGTATGTACGGTTATTTTTTGAATCAATTAATAAAGAGCTTCATTACAATTCAATAATAAATAACAACACTCTACTTCTTTCTGCAATCAAAATTATTGATCAGTTGTTACAATTTTGAAAATTTCTACACCTCTTTTCTATTAACAGAAATCTACAACATTTTCATGACCACATTAAATTTAGATTCAGTTTTTCATCAAATAAATGATATTCCTATGGGTTTGAACTATTCAACACAAATTTGTGTACACTCAAAAAGAAATTAACAGTTTAGATTTACGTAATTTTTATTACAAAAAAAGGGGGGAGCTTTATAACAAAAGAAGAGATTTCAATTTTAACACAATGAAATTAATTCACTTGGAATCTAGCATTTTGGAAAGAGAATTTATTAATTAATATTAACTAAAGTTTACTTTAATCTAAGTTGATTAAAGTCAACTTCTTAGATTCAAAAATATTTATACTGAAGGTATTTACTTCAAGAAGAGATCTTTTCAATCAATTCATTAACAGAAAATGGAATTCCAAAATATTATGTTAATTTTCTCTGAAAAGAGAAGGCATTAATTATTAGTTTGTCCGGAAAATAATGCAGGTTTTTGACCTATATCTTTAAAGTACCATAACTCAACTCAAAAACAATTTTATTATTCAAAATAAGCACCAGCCGAATCAATGCATTTTTGCTAATGAGATATAAGTTTATTTATGCCGGTAGAATAAAATTCTGGATCGATTATAAGGTGAAAAGGCGTTTTTGGCTTTGTCTTGGTTTCTGAGCATTTCTTGCAGAATGTTATCAGATGTTTGAAAAAGTGGTAATCGGTTGGCAAGAGGTCGGGCGAATATGGGGGAAGAGGGAGTGTCTCGTATCCCACTTTGTTCAATTTCTGTAGGGTCAGTTGCATGACGTGCAGTCGAGCATCGTCATGGAGAAGAACTGGCCCCTTTCTGTTGACCAATGCCGAGCACATGCGTTGCAATTTTGGGTGCATTTCGTTGATTTGCTGACAGTACTTATGTGTCGTAATCGTTTCGCCCAGATTTAGGAAGCTGTGATGGATGAAACCGGCCACCGTTGGTACCATTTGGTACCACCGTTGAACTATAGATTCATTAACCCTTTTCTCGCCCCATACTTCGCTGACATTTCAAGCCGTTCGTGCTGCTCTGCGGCCTAGCTTGTACTCCTAAAAGCAAATTTGCCGAAAATCCTGTTTTGACATCTAAAGAAAAACACCTAGTAAATATTTTAAAAAATAATTTTGGAACAAAATGATTATTATAACCATATAGATCAAAAATAGAGCTTCAAAATGATATATAAACCAATGTAATTCAAAATATTTTTGTTGCTAAAAATGTACAGGAAACATAAATAATTGCAAAAACCTGCATCTTTTTCTGGACAACCCGATACCAAATTTAATCTCTGTTTTATTGTGACATGATCATGTTATTGAAAAACTCAAAAAAGAGAATAAAGCAGGATGGCAATTAAATTTAGAGGCTTATATATACGTGTTAAAAGGAAATTTTAATAAGGATTTATGATTTATTTTTAACTATTTAATGTTATTAGGATTGTTACCTCACCATTTACTTTGATAATAGCTTAGAAGTTACAAAATTTTACTGCATTATTTCGCCAATAGTATTAGTTTATAGAATATACTTTTAGCCAAAATTGCTATGAGTCTTACAGCTGAAAATTAGTAAATTCAAAATTAGCCTTTTAGAGTAATTATCTGTTTTTTTTTTTTTTTTTTTTTTTTTTTTTATTTTATTATTATTGGTAAAAGATGTGAATTTTTAAATCTAGAGGTTTCTCATTTTACAGTATGCATTTTTTTTTTTTTTTTTTTTTTTTTTTTTTTTTTTTTTTTAAGAGAGAACTGAATTTAGTTTAGGATAGTCTTGACTCTTTGAGATGAGGAGTAAATATTTTTTAAAAGGATTTCTTTTGGGGAAAGAGGGAGACACGCAAATGATCTAGAAGGACAAAATGTTCATTCAGTATTTCTTAATGTTTTAAATAATTATTCCCGAGTCTATTTGAAGCATTAAGTTATGAATAATTAATATGCAGATTGTCATAAGTTTTAAAAAATTAAAATTTTGTTTTCATATTTTAAAGAAATCTTTACCTAATTCAAAATGCTTTATTAGTAACTAACTGTTTTCTTAATCTAAGTTTACAGTTAAAATGTTTCTCAAACTTTCCAGGATAATCTTTATGGTAAAAAAAATTATTTGGTAGAATTATATATATCTTATATATAAATCTGCGCTGCACTTCACTCTGAATAGAGTATGTAAAAGGTATGCAGCTAGTCGTTCAAAATATTATAATTAAATCATTGTAATGCTTGCATATTTTAATGCTGTTAATGTATTGAAGTGGGCCATTATCAATCTGAATTAGGTATGCTTCTTGATCACACAATTATCAGCCACACAGAAATCTTCAAAAAATATTTGCGAAAACCTTTCAGAGGTAAAGATGTTAATGGGAAAGTACTGATAATTTTTATTATCGAACAGTTCTTTTTTATTAGAAACTTTTTCTTGTAAATATTTTCATATATATAAGCATTAATATGGTGGTTGAAATTATTGGTATTTTCTTTTATATAATTTTTGAATATATCCCAAAGGTAAAAGTCGGGAAGGTGATCAGGAAAGAAGACATACAAAAGGCTGTAATTGTAAAAGATCTTACTGCCTGAAAAATTATTGTGAATGTTATGAGGTAAGAGTTTGAATTAACAGTGTTCGTTGAAGATATAACTTTTAATTTCATGCAAGTAAAAAAAACTGATTTTTTTTTCTTTTGATAATCTGATATCATATCCTATCTTTAGGCAAAAATACTGTGCACAAATTTATGCAAATGTATTGGGTGTAAGAATTTTGAAGACAGTTCAGAGAGGAAAACTCTGATGCATTTGGCAGATGCAGCTGAAGTAAGAGTACAGCAACAAGCTGCTGCAAAGACAAATTTGTCTTCACAGATTCTTGATATCCCTACAAAACCACCTGTTATGTCAAGAACTGGTGAAAGGTAATTTATATTTCTGATATTAAAATATAGAAATGTAGTATCTTGTCAGTTAGAACTTTTCTTTGTTGTTTTCATGAATACATTTACTGGTTTTAGATTTTTAATCAATTAGCATAAATTACCTGTAATTTCTTGCAAACTCCTTGTCATCAAAGTGTCCTTAGGCTGAATGAACTAGGTAAATTAATTTTTTATTTTAATTAGCTGCATGAAGGATACACATTGTTAAGCATGTTTGCTTATTTACTATGCATAGTTTTATTAAAAGTCTAAAATTATGTTTTAACAGAAAGAAATAATTAATAGGATATATTTCCTCAAGTTTCATAGCGAATTATTCCGTTTTAGAGGTGAAGGAGTTATCCTACTCCTAACAATAACTTATTTAAAATTAATATCGGAATCAAATTATTTTAACTTCTATATAAAAAATATTTGAATATCAGTACTTAGCGATTTACATATCTAATATTTCATAAAATTGCTGTTACTAACTAAAGCCATTATTTGGTGGGACAATCTGCAGATTTAACATGTGAATATTATTTTATTCTCTGGAGATATTTTCTTAAAATGAATTAGTTTGATTTTAGTTCATAATAATTTGAGAATGTAAAGGAAATGGTGTGTTTACTGCTGAAACTAATTTAGTATCTTTAATTTTGTTGATCAGTAAGAAAATTATCAGTCAATAAATGAAATTGCTAAACACATTTGAAGTTTATCATACATTATTTATGTTTATTTCATGCAGATTGCCTTTTGCATTTGTTACTGATGATGTTTTAGAAGCTACTTGTTTGTGTCTCTTGGCTCATGCCCATGATGCTGAGAAATGCCATGCGTCTGAAGAGGAAATTGAAAGATTAGTTTTACAAGAGTTTGGACGTTGTCTTATGCGAATTATTGATTGTGCAAACAAGACAAAAGGTAAACAAATATTGATTATTTTAAAATCTGAGAAAAGTTGTTGCTGATAATTAGAAATATTTTAAACCATTTGAATTTTTTTAAAGCCTTTTATTCGGTGGGGAAAATTACAATGCGGTATAGTTATTCCATAGTATAGTATTATTACTGCATCATATAGCCAGGCCAGATCTGAAGATTGATAAAATACTGTGAGAGGAAATTAATATTTATTCAAAAGCTTTATTTAGTCCTTTCTCATTACCTCATTTGGGGTTACAAAATAAACAAAGTCTGCAGTTATATCATACGTAAATGTGTTGCTGTTGTCCTCAAAGTTAATAGGTGTTTTCAGTGTGTGAATTAGTTAAACATTTAGTATAACTAAGGTAACCACCTTTTCCTGATGAAAACATAGAACTGTTGAATTATTTATGCATAATTTAAACCAGTGATTTCCGTTTATAAAATAAATGTCAGCCCCATTTTTACAACCATGCATTATTGTAGCCATTTTGTTAATCTTCTCTTCAATTTTGGTACTTACATATTATTTTGTAAACTGACAACAGTCAGAACAGGTTAGTCTCAGTTATGGATAAGGATGACAACACAACACACTTGTAATATCTGCAATCTCATTTAACCCTAACCGGTTCTTGATAAACCACCTTTTTTTTATGAAAAAGGATATAAATTATCTGTAATTGCTGTATTTTTCCCTGCCCTTTTTTGGAGGGGAGGAGTAATTAAATTTTGGATCTAGCTTCTGTAGCTATGAATTATTTTCAAGCTATGGATCATTTTCAAACTTATGGGTTCCTAAGATAAAAAAAGTATGTATTAATGAACACAGTGTGGTACTTTATTTGAAAACAAATAAATGATGGTGGTGCGACATGAGAAATTATGCCAGAAGACTGTTCATTCAAAAAAGAATGTGGTTTGAAGGCTGTAGAATCACATTTGTTATTGCCCACTTACAGCTGGTTGAGAGAATTAACATCTGCTGAATGGGAAAAAGAACAGCTGAATATGGGCGAAAAAACAGTAATAAATTGAAATCACCAATGAGAGGTTATTAACCCTTTGTTGCATACAAATAATCTAGAGAAAATGTTTATTAACGAAAATGTTTGTATTTTTTCTACTTAAAATAACCTTAGTAATAACAAACAAACAAAATAATAATAATAATAATAATAATAATTTTATTCAAATTTCATTTTAAATAATTGTTACAGTTTGTTCACTACAGTGGACAGCATGCATATACGTACTTGCATACAAATCTCTACCCAATGATTTACGGTCATTGCATATGAAATCATTTCCTGCTTTGTTTGCAGTGATCATTATTATCTTCTAAATGGTAAGTCTAAAATTGACATGTACATACAGATCCACCAAACTACCTTCATTTCATCGATTGTGACTGAATTCATTTTGCTACGATTTTGTAACCTGTACCTGTTGGATTCAAATGTTCTAGAAATTTCTTGCCAAACATAAACATTTCCAGTGGTGTTTTAGCTTGATAAGCAGTACATTCTAAACGGTCATTGCATATGAAATCATTTCCTGCCTTGCAGTGTAACTGAAAAGGCATTCCAAACCTGGAAATCTACTGCTGTATCATTACTGCTACTACCATGTTAGCCTCTTGATCAGATATAATATATGCTTCAAGCCACTTTGTGAAGTAATCATTGACAACAAAGGTGTATTTGTTGCCATCAGCTGTTCGTGACAGTGGTTGTATGATGTCAAAGATGTGATGTTCAAAAGGCACTCCTACATTGTATTGTTGTAGCTTCCCTGTGCTGCATTTCTTCAGTCTTCTGCCCCACACAGGCATCGCAAGATTAGCACCATTTCTGCATGTCTGCTTTTGCATTACTCCAGTAGAAATGCTTTTGAACTCTAAGGAAAGTCTTCATTAAGACGAAGTGGCCTCATATTGGACTGCTATGTAATTCTCTAAAAACTTCCAGGATCTTGGAAGTGTCTGCTGGCATCAGAAAGCCTTTCCATCAACCCATTCAAATTTCTTTTACAAGACGCCATTTCGAATATGGAGCGAGTCCCACAGAGCCCCATATTGTTTGTTGTAGAACTACAAATCACAATGTCCTGCCGAGTAGGTTTCTTAGTTGAAGACTCCATTAAATCAGTTATGTCAGTTATGGGTTTTTGTCTTCCAACTGGTCTTTCCTGACCTCTCCATCACTCCATGGGTCTCAATCAGCCAAAGTTGAAACTTAAATTGCAGCCAGATTAATATGCTCATATTTTGCTTTGACCTGGAACAATATATCGCAGCTTTCTGGGCAGGGTCTTCTAGGTAGGGTATCGGCATTTCTGCGTGTTGATCAATTCCTGTGACAGATAGTTAAGTCATATTCCTGGAATCCATATCCGTCTGTCTAATTGGCCTTGAGGACTCTTGGAATTTAATAGCCAGGTCAACGATGCACAGTCTATGCAGAGCAGGAATTTTCTGCCTTAGAGATAATGGTGGAAATGTTCCATAGCTTGAATTATGGCAGCATCTCTATTCTGGTGACATAATAATTCCCCTTCAGTTTAGATAGGCACTTGTTCCAGCATGCTATGACAGTTCTTGACCGTTTATTTTTTGTTACAAAACAGCACCAACACTTGTTGCTTGCATCCATGTAAAAAAAAAAAGTGGTTTGTCAAGCTGAGGATATGTCAGAATTGTCACAAATTTTAAAGCCTCCCTCAGTTTATTAAATGCATTCTTTTGTCTGCAAGAACTTGTGCTTGCTTTCTGTTAGTTTGTGAAGGGGTCTTGCGATGGAAGAAAAGTCCTTTGTAAATCTCCTACATAGTAGGTACAAACCCCAGGAAACTTCTCAGCTGATGGACATTTTCAGAGTATCTCCAATCTTTAATTGCAAAAACTTTTTCTGTATCTGTATGCATACCTTAGAGATGACATGTCCAAGGTAAATCGCTTCTGTTTGAACAATTTACATTTGGCAGGACTTAACTTCAGATTGGCTTCTTTAATTTCTGAAGTGCATTCCTAATATTTTCTAAATGCTCTTCAAAACTTTAAGGATGATGGTATCCCAGGTATATCAGACAGTATTTGTGGGAAAGACATTGTAGCATGGTATGCGTGAGGTGTTCAAATGTTACTGGCACATTACATAATCCAAAGAGCATCACCTTGAAGTGCTGGAGTCTTTGTGCGGTAGTACATACCATCTTTTTTTTTCATTCATCAGGGTGTATTTCTACCTGTCAATATTCCACTCTTTAAATCCAGTACCAAAAACCTTTTGCTTCGAGAAAGAGTGTCTAGAATGTCATCAATTCTGGGAAGAGGGTAGCTATCTTTCTTTGTAAGCCGGCAGTAGTCAACTCAAAATCTATTTCAACCATCTTTCTTTCTGACCAAGACAGTGGGAGAGGCACAAGGACTTGCTGATGGCTCGATAACGTCACTTTTCTTGCATAAAAGGTTTTCCTACCTCTTCTTGTTTATCAATTGCTAGACGTCTTGGATGTTGGTTGATTAGTGGATGATCCCTTGTATCAATTCTGAGCTGTGTCAGACTGGTTCAACCTACTTCAGAAGACGAGCGGGAGAAAAAAATCTTGAAATTCTTGTATCACATATTCAGCAGCACTCCTCTTTTCATCATTCAGTTGTGTATCCTGTAATAACTCCGTTGTTAGGCTCTCTGAAGATACAGTAATTGGAGGTCTATTGGCTTGTCACTGGAGTACTTGGTGCAACCATTTTGCCTTTTCTAATGGTTTTTGCTTTATCAGGAACATTGGCAACTCTCACTGGAATAACTGTCCTTGATAGGTTGAAAAGTGCTGAGGTTACTTGTACTCCTCGCAGGATATTGCAGTTCTTAGAATATTCGGTTATACTGTGCTAGATATTTCTATTTTCAGGTATGGATCCATGCAGTAAAAGTTCTGTTCTGGTTCCTGCTGTACCATTATCTTGAGCTATGATTTGGTGGACACATTTAAATTGTTCTTCTTTAATTTGAACCAGGGTTATGTCCTCAGTTGCAGAGTGCAGTTAGTCCAAGGAAAAATTGTATTTCCTTAGAAAGTCTTATCTGAATATGCAAGGATGTGTTATAACTGCCACATTAATCTTTATTGTAGCAAAGGCTAATGTAAGAGTTGCTCCTCCATTGCTCTTGTCGCTGGCTTTCAGTCCCATTTCTGACACCAAAAATTATTATAATAATAATAATTTTTGGTGTCAGATGTCAGTCGGGTTCATAATGGATTGAATGCACAAAGAACCCATGATAGCTGGATAATAATAGTGATTAAAAGAAATGCTTTAATGTTCCAGGACTTTCCACAAAAATACTCCAACAGCTCCTCTGAGTATCACAGAGCACAATCAGTAGTTACACTTCAGACAACTAAGAACACTAAACACAGATCTGTGGAAAGTGCATCTAAAGAGCAAAGCTCACACTGAAATAGCTCATTACTTTGAAGTAGACTCCGAATTGAAAAACAGAGCAGACGCTTGTTCTGGTTCTTATATTGTTTCACCTGGCCGTTGAGAAATCTCTAGTACCTTCCATTTCATGAAATTACTGGAAGGTATGTACACTGCGCCAAAAAAAAGGGGGGGAACAGTTCTATATCTCGCCTTCTACTGAGCTGATTGACGAAATTCAACTTGCGTTTTTCATGTTTCTAAAGCATGACTTAGGCTCTATATTAGATTTATATACAGCATTGTTCTAATACACTGGTGTGCAAAAATTAAGGACGAAGTCGAAAAATTAGCATATCAGCTGAACGAAGAGGCAGAGCGGACAGAAAGACCAATCAGGAGATTAAGTAAGGTGATGTATGGTAGCACATGTGCAGATATGCAGGTAGACGTAATGGGGGAGTGTCTGAGTAGTATAAAGCATGTTGTCAGTGTAAGATCAGTATTTCTGTCAAAGAGATTGTACGCCGTATAGCAGTTAAATCACACCGGTTGCTGCCTCAGCAAG